GTAATGCATCTTGGAAGACAATTGATGTCCTCCCAGTTAGTATTGTGATACTCTTGGCTGAACAGAGTCTTGAAGTACTTCACTGCTCCTTCGGCAATAGCATTATTACCTTTTAGCCACTGATTTTCATCATCCTTGATTTTTCTGATATTAAGCCTTTTTCTCTTGTCTTTGATAATGCTATGAAAGTAGGCCGTATTAGCATCACCCTACTCAAGCCATTTGACCCTAGCTTTTTGCCTAAGGATGGAGTCTTGCAACTTGATAAACCTCGTGTATTCTGCTCTGCATCTTGATAACTCATTTTTATTGTCAGCCGAATTGTTATAGATACTGATATCTTCAAGAGCCCTTATCTGAGCTTCCAATCTTTTGGGTTCTTCATAAATGTCTCCAAAGGCATGTCTTGACCAGCTGCTGAGTTTTTTGCAGGTATTCTTAATCTTTTGATGAAGAACATACATAGGATTCCCTATTACTTCTTCCTCCCAAATGTTCTGGACAATATTCAGGTAGTCACTATGTTCAGTCCAAATATTGAGAAATCTAAAGTACTTGATGTGTTGAGTAACCTCATTAGCATCTTCACCAGCAAAGGAGCATGATCAGAACATGCTCTAGAGAGGTGAGTAACACTAGTTGCATTGTAGACATCAAACCAAGATGAATTATACACCAGTCTATCAAGTCTTTTCCAAATAATGTTTGGAGGGTCTCTATTATCGCACCAAGTATATTTGGAATCATAATAACCTGCATCCTGCAATCCACAAACATTTAGACATTCTATGAAATCGAGACTCTCCTCCATCCTATGGGGTCTTCCCCCCATTTTTTCATCCCAGGAGCAAATGACATTGAAATCTCCAATTGCACCCCAAGGATCTGAAATAGTGGAAGCAATGTTCTTTAAGTCTGCCCATAATTCCTTTCTCAATTCTTCAGTGCATTTGGCATAAACCACAGATAGGAAGAAAACAGGATCAACATCGTGAGCAACTCTGAGCAGTACGTATTGATCCTTGTCTTGAATAATGTCAACAATAACTTCATTCGACCAGAAGATCCATATTTTGTTGGAGCAGTTGTTGTAAGCATTTTGAATGCCTAGTTTTCTTCTAAATTTCTCCATTTTCCCACTATCCACCATGGGTTCTTGAAGAGAAATCAAGGGAAGTTGAAATTGTTGTTGTAGTAGATTGAGTCTTTCTACGGATCCTTGAGATCCTATCCCTCTAATATTCCATGATAGGGTGTTAATCATTGGAAACTTTTAGGGGAAAGGTTGTTTTGTTCACTTGTTTGACAAGTCTGAAGTGACCTATCTTTGACAAACACCCCCCCTGTAAATTTATTATTTCTAGGGGATAGGTTGTTGTAAAACATTACTTTCTGATTGACCTGCGCAGTATTTACATAGGAATTTTCATTTTTGGAGTTGTTCCTGATGATATCATCATCAGATTTGGAGGAAGTATTGTCATCCTCAAAACACTTCATGAGCATATCTGTTCCCGAGGGTATACTTCCTTCATTAACCAAAAGATTTTGATCTCGATACGTGCTCCCAGTCCCCTTCTTAACCTGAGCATCATCTGGAGGATCTGGTTCAATCGCTCTAGCCAGTTCTCCTCCCATGTTAGAAACATGGTTGATTCCTTGGTCCAAAACGCTATCCCCTACACTCTTCAACACTTCCTTACCTTTAGGCAGACTAATAGCAGTCCATTGACCAGGAGGGACTTTGCTTCTGACTATTGTTCCATTGAATATGTGAGCGACTTCCCGGCAAGAGTGACATCATTTGGAATGTTGATCCCATTTTTGAATTTTCTCTTGTTGTTTTCCAGCGTCTCAATCTTTTCGACATTAACATTCACCATAGAAGCTAAATCACCCTTTAGCTGGAGGTCAGGATCATTTATCTTTGTATTTGTCCTGCTTCTGGTTCTTCTTACTGATAAGTTGTTGGTTTGATTTTGAGTTTTCTCTAATTCCTTGGTGGTTTTAGCTTTGTCAACTCTTGTAGGCTTAGTGATAATCTGCTCCCGGGTGTTCTGATTTTTTTCATCATTGGCTCGGGTGATATCCATATCTTGTGTCTCCTCGTTGTTCAGTAGTTGGTCGAACATGTTTGCGCTTCCACCAGTGGTATCAGATTGGTCTGTTGTGTTACCCCCATTCTTGGTGTCTCTAGTGATGCTTTCCGCTTTGTTTTTCCTCCTGTCCACTTGTGTCCAACCTTCTTTAATGGTCTTGGCAGAAATTTCAGCAACTTTGGACCCATGAGCTTTGTTATTCCCTATTGCTTCTCCTTGATTTCTAAGTTGTTTGTTTCCAGATCCTTGTTGGCTTGATTGCTTTGGGATGTTGGCGTTGTTGCCATGTTGTTGGTTACCTCCTTTATTTGGTCTATTGTCGTCTTTAATCTGTTCATTTGCATTATTCTCATTCTGTAAATCCGGGTGGAGGATTCCGCATTTAATTTGGACATGCCCTTGTTTTTTACAGTGGGAACAGAAAAGAGGAATAGCTTCATATTCTATTTTTTGAGCAAAGCTTTCCAATTCCCCTGCTGTGTTCCTGATTTCCACACTGATCTCATGAATTAAAGGTCGGATGACATGTAAAATAGCATGGGTAACACATAATGTTGCAAATGTATTCACCTACTATGTTAGCTCATGAGCCGATTGATGTTGTTCTTTTGGGGCATAAGCCTGACCGACTGATGCTTTAAAATTTGGCATTTCAAGTTCTTTGCTGTAAAAACCAATATTGGATTAGGCTTCTTTCTTAAAATGGGAATGCACATAGGGGTGATTAGTTCATTGTCTGTAACCTCCTGAGATTTTGAGGCAGAATAATTGGATCAATAGGTGTTAAATTGTCAATAGAGATGTTGGAGGGAGAGGGCTTATTTTAGAAAAAAAAGAGATGTTGGGTGGACTGGTGGAGAGGTAAACTTCCACTACTAATTTATAGAGATAGGTATGAATGGAAAATCTTGAAATTGGGGATAAAATTTGGGTTTCAACAAGAAGAGAATACATCAAATACCAAGAATATGTGAATGAGCTTCTTTTCATTTTCTATTCTTCAAACGAGTTGCTAAGTTTGATCTAAAATTTAAAAGGAACTTATGCATTCTTCTCTCTTTTTTGTCATTTCCCTTTTATATGTATAGCAAGTCTTTTCGTAGTTTGGTTGTAATCAACGCCTGTGCCCAGGCTTCCGGTTGCAGTTTTGTCTGCCCTCCTCAACCCTAAAAAATTGAAAAATGCATGATCACATGCTTGCTGCATAGAGTATGGTAACTTGTGAATGTTTTTCTTTTTTACTTTTGAAGTTTATGTTTGTGAATAGAGAAAAGAAGAGAGATAACTCGTGTTGAATAGATTGATGAATGAGAGCCTTCTTATAAAAGGGCTATGAAATAAGTAGTAATGTTTTCCTGATTTTTGGCATATTACTTGTGAAAAATTCATTAAGGATATTGTCTACATTATTTTGTGCAATTATGACTTAGAGAATAAACTTTAAAGACATTCCAACATATAGTTGCATTAGGTTTCTTGCTTTCCAATGTGTACTCCCAATTTTAAGGTGGTGATCGGAACTGGAAAGCTGAGCAGAGTATCTGGATAAAGTTACAGTATACTGTTAAAGAAGCAGTTATTTCAGTAATATTGTCGTTGAAATGTCAAAAAATAAAATTGACTTGGTACCATCAAATAGTATGAATGACGGTGGTCCTATGAATGGAAACTAAGGACATGCATGACACCAACTTGACTTGATTGTTAACAAACCTAAACATTCCTTTCCTTTCCTTTCAAGTTTCAAATAGTCTCTCCTGGATTGTAGCTGGTATGGTACACCATCATTTCTGTTGTTCGTATGCCTTTGCTGTACCAACTTCTCAAAAAGTCCTTGTTACATTTTCGCATTGTCCAATGAATGCCCGGTAAACTCAAAAACAGTTTCCACGATTTTAAAACTACCGGGCTTGCAAAAACAGGTGGCTTATACATTCAGGCTTAATTCAACACAGGTTCTGGCACCTCACTAGCATACCTCTTTTCTGGAGGTTTTCCTGTGTTAAGTATGCTTCATTTGCAACCAACCATGCTACTTTCGGTGGTGCTTTTGTTCTCCATATGTTCCTCCATGGCTAGGTATTGGGCCTTCGTTCTTCAACAGTCAAAAAACTCATGGTAAGGACTAACAGTGAAAGAACCTGAACTATGCATCTTTGAAAATTCATGTCATCATTGCTGGACAAGGTTTGAAAATGTTCCAATTATCTAATAAAATATGTTATCCTGTTCATTAGGGTTCTTCTGAAGCTCAAATTCCATTCATTCTAATTTATGTATTCGGCAATTATTGATTTCACATTCTTCCTTAACAACTGGGTACTTGTGGACTTGACCTATTTTCCTTTAGCTGAATGTTAGACACAATAGGGGCTTTGGAGAAAAAGTCCTTTTAACAAATTTGATGAGTTCCTTTTAGAACTTGGATTTTTGCTTTTTGCCTATTGCTTCTGTTTTTCTGTTTGTACGCATGTACGTTTTTGTTGTGGAAGCGAGTGCTTTCTTTTGTTTCCTCATCTTGCTTCTTTGTAGAGTAGTGCAGCAATTCTTGGGAGAAGTTCCAGTACTGACTGATATTTCATGAGTTAATTGAACAATAAAATCAAACCCATTAAGCTGCATCCGTATGAAGATATATCACTTGATTTGCTAGTATCAACTGTGAGGTTGATACAGTTGCTGTGTCCTGATTTGACCATGTGAGTGAGAGAGTTAGGAATGATCTACTATCGGTAACTTGTATATCTCTGGTCTTCACCAGCTTTTTTCATTTTCGTTCCTCTTCCGCTTGTTCAGGTTAAGTTCGCTGTTAGGTAGCTCCTTTCTTTACAAGTTCCTTTTGAATTAAATAAGAATTTGATTTGCAGTTTAATTCTAAGTAGTTCTGGTCCTTTGGTGCAGGCTTACATGTTGGTATAGCAATGTTTACTGGCTATCTGATGGGATATTTTGCATTCAGGGCCTTATTTAATCACAGTCCAGCAATGGTAAGTTCTTAATTTGATTTCCTCGTGATTCTATTCGATACAACCTCTATACGTGGAGCAACAGCAACTATATAACCGACCTCTTCTCCTGTGCTTTTGTTTACTGTATCTACTTCCTCTGGTTCACTACTCTGTATTGAAGTCTCATTGCTCTTTCTTCAGAGCGCTGCTGGAGGCATTCTTGGATTGGTCATTGCCATGCTTGTCGAGACACTTCTCTTTATTATCAGAACTTCGAGTTTAGATAAAAAACCGGCTAGAAAAGCCACTTCGTTCACAACAACGCAGAAGAAGAATCAGTAGGTTTCATCACAAGAAGTTGATTCTTTCTATGTTTCCTTAGAATAGGAATAAATATTTTGGTATTGAGCATCTTATTTATTTCTCCTCCTGTGAATTTTTATTCTGTAAAAATATGTATTCTTTGATTTGTGTAGCTCACTATAGGTTCGTTATAAGAGAATTATTGCACTGGCAATGCAAAAATATTTATAATTGGGAAGTTTGTCTTTGGCACTTGGAATACAAAAGTTAATTTTATTGTCATTCACGGAAAACCATGTGTTTTGTTTAGTACTCCCCGTTCACTTTTTTTTGTTCACTATTAAAAATAGTTGTCCGCTTTTACCTGTTCAGTTTGGAAATCAAGAGATAATTTGTCACTTGGTTTCTCTTTCCTCTATTCCATATTGATTGAACTTTTTAGGCTTTTTTCATTGTTCAAAATAATTGAATAGTTCTCAAGGTCGAGATGGATATTTGAATTTTTTTTCATATTTTCCCATTCCTTTATTGAAGTCTACTTATAAAGTTATAATTATGATTTCATGAAAAGGGCAATAGTGAAAATTATAGGTAAACGTATGTCCTTGAATGTTTTTCTTAATATGTGTGTATTGTCTTACAAATTCACTTAATATGGAATAAAGAAAGTAATTTACTCTTATTAGTAACTATATTCATTTTACAAAATATTGAAATTATTATACTCAAGAGGTGATATTACTTATTAGACGTGGACAAATAAAATTGGACGGAGGGAGTACTATTCACTTGCTTAAATGCAAAGGCAAATAGAAGCGTAAAAATAAATCCAAACATGCACATGGAATGCTTGAATTGCTACTTAATTATTCCTTCAAATTATGTCAAAGGTAACTCAACCTTAATTAAAGTTGTTACATTTGAATTTGGTACTATTAACTATAAAATGGACCTTATTGTTGGGGTATTTTATGTTGTCTCTATGGTCTTTGTGTTGTGACTAAGAAAATGATAATGGCACTTAAGTATATTATAGTAGTAGTTTGAATAATTATAATAAATTGTTTTTTAAGTGGATGTTAATCGTGCCAATACATCTACTACTTATATATAAGTGGCAATAAGCATACATGAGACGGTCAACTTGCCAACTAAGGGCATCTTTGGAATAACACAATAATTTTGCTTTGACATGTTGTACATTGTAGAAGGGGAACTTTCACATATAGCCACTCAAAAATAGCCTAATTACTCTCCATAGCTATAGTTTGATAATTACAATTCATAGCTACATGTTATATGGAGGAGAAAGGCGAGCGAGACTGGGAGAGAGAGGGGAAAAGAGTGGGAGAAAGGTGAATTGTATATGTATATATAGGTTAGATAATTGTATATTATACATATGCATTTGTATATATGGCAAGCGAGATTGGGAGACGGAGGAGAGAGGCGAGCGAGAGAGGGCAGGAAGAGTGGGAGAAGAGGTGAATTGTATGTGTATATAGGTTAGATAATTGTATATTATACATATGCATTTGTATATATGGCAAGCGAGATTGGGAGACGGAGGAGAGAGGCGAGCGAGAGAGGGCAGGAAGAGTGGGAGAAGAGGTGAATTGTATGTGTATATAGGTTAGATAATTGTATATTATACATATGTATTTGTATATTTTGGCGAATTATACATATATAAACGTGGCTAATTATACAAATTCGAAGTCAACCCACGTAATTAATGTATAATGTTAGTCGTGAGTGATAATTATAGCAAACTATAGTTATGATGAGTAATTAAGTAGTATAAATTTGTTTAACCGCGTAATTTTCCTATTTCCTATTGTAGAATCGATTGTTGGACGTTTTGAGATTTTGACATAAAGCCCAATTGTTTTTTGCTTAATTCAAATAGCAGCCCATGCATTGCTTTTGCCCCGGATTTGATCTTTTATTACATGATTGCATGTAGATAATTTCGTAAATATTGCAAAACCAAAGGATGATTCTATTTAAAAAGGCAACAACAGCCTGCCTCACAATTATTATTAAAAAATCAATCTTAAAAAAATCGTTTACTTTAATGTATATAATATTTTTGTAGTGCATGAGATAACGAAGACAATTGTAAATTAATACAATTTTAGTAGTTAATATTTAATGTTTTTTCTTATTTTGTTCAATTAAGTATTCCACGAGTAAAGAAATCGTTTTAATTTGTTTGTCTTATTTTTTAATTTTTTAAATATTTAAAAATTATGTAAAAAATACGATAAATTATGATAATTACCAACTTAAAATATTTGTAAAAAACATATAAAAATTTCAATTGATTCATAAAATTAATCTATTTGTGTCACATAAAATGGGATAAAAGAAGTAACATGTATTATTTAATTTGGAAACTACGTAGAAAGTATTGTAAATCTCAATAATTAACAACATTTAATTGACTCTTGAAATTCTATTTGTGCTACATACATTGGGATAAGAGAAGTAATATATATTATTAAAAATTTATGTAAAAAGTACTATAAATTACAATAATTGAAAGAAATAACATGTAATATTTAATTTGGAAACTATGTAGAAAATATTGTAAATCTCAATAATTAACAACATTTGATTGACTCTTGAAATTCTATCTGTGCTACATTTATTGGGACAAGAGAAGTAATATATATTATTTAAAAATTACGTAAAAATACTATAAATTACAATAATTAACAACTTAAAATATTTAAAATCATATTAAAATTTAATTGATTATCTAAATTATATCTATGTCACATAAAGTAAAACAAAAAAATAGCAGATATTGGACCCGTACTAACACAAACACTTGTGTCTAGTACTATAAGAAAACAAGAAAGTCATTCTTATCATTATAATTATTAAATCTTCTAATCTAAACGAAGACAAATTTGCAATAATTTCTTCATCTATTAGGATATTTGTGTTTATGATATTATATATTTGATATGAAGTATGACAATTGAATAGGGATTATGAAGGGAAAAAAACAAGATGTGGATGAGCTTAGGATATCAAATCAATTTTTTTTGTACACTAATTCTAAAAGTAGTTAGACGTAAGCTAATTTAATTTTTTTTGTGGACAATTCCATGTCTAAAACAAGTGAGAAAAACAGTGCTATACACTGTTCCTCTAATCACAATTTCATTCCTATACATGGGATTTTCTCCTTGGTTGATTTATTAAATCATCCTCAGACAATAATAATAACATATTCAGTTTAATCGCACAAATGACACTATAACACAAAGTATATACCGCTATACAATATATTATAACTAAATGAGAGAAGTGTTGAAAACATCCCTAAACTTAACGCAAATTATTAGTTTCATCCCCGAACTATTGACAACCTTAAAAACACCCATCTACTTGACTAACTAAACTTAGATACATCCCCAATTTGCCACAAGACATAGCAAGTGGTCTTAAACTCTAGTATGACGTGTAACTCTTAATAAAAAGTCGAGAAAAATGTTGAAAACATCCTAAACTTGGCGAGAATTTAGGGGTGTATTTCACTCATGTTGTAAGATCAGGTGTGTATTTAAGTTCAGTTAGTCAAGTAAATGAATGTTTTTAAAGCTGTCAATAGTTTAGAGATGAAACTAATAATTCACACCTAGTGTAGGGGTGTTTTCAATACTTTTCTCTAACTAAATATAAACTTTTTGTGGCTAAATATTTTAGCTATAATTATTAATTTTCATAGTATTCGAAGCAAGATGTAGTGAGGACAGAGGCGGAGCTAGTTGGAGGTTCGTGGGTTAGGATGAACCCACTATCTTTTTTGTAGACCCTACATTTATATTAGAAAATTAAATAAATATACATGTATATTAACTTGTGAACCCATAACAAAATTAACTGACAGCTCAGTGGTAAGGAAGGGGCGGTGGAAATGTCTTTCACACTAGTATTGTGGGTTCAAACTTGACCATCAATTTTCTGTCCTAAAATTTAGAACTCTCAAACTCTTAAATCTAGCTCCGGCTCTGAGCAAGGAAATAGCAAAGACACAAAAAGGAATAGCAAAGCCAAGAACTTAACCATCAAAGAATATGATGTAGTGGATGAAACTGTTACTTTCTTGACTAGGTCTTAAATTATAATTAAAAAAAATCCTTAATAGAAAACAGATACCAAACACCGACCGGATAAAAAAAAAAGGCACGAAGTTAGAGAGGTTGGGAAATATATGGAAAATTGAAGGCATGTGAAGTAACATGATGGTATTAAAGTGGTCCATAATCCAAGATGTTTGTTCACTTAATAAAACCAACAACAAGAAGAAGATAGTAGAGTGAAGGAAACACAAAAGAATGGGCACATTACACTGCACCATCTCTAATAGGGACACCCCCACTTCATTTCTGCCGTTTATTTTGCTTTTTCATGTTCTACTTTTTCCAATTTTATTTATTTTACAAATAAAATAAAAATTGCTTCCACTGTTGAGAAATAAATTGTTTCAGTTTGTAATTGATCAAAGAATTTTGAGTCTAAAAAAAATTCATAATTTACGTTCTTATAAATTTCTTCTTGTAACTTCCTTTCATTTTTGTAACACATACTAATTATATCTCATTAGACCATTAAGATGTAAAGATAATTGGGAGTTGCATCTTCTTCTTTTCGAATGATTGGTATCTAATTGAGAACTGATAAAATTTGAGTTTACACATTGTAAAGCTTATTTTTGGAGGTGGCGTTTCCAACAAAAACTATTTCATTCCTAAAGGTTCAAACCTGAGATATGTAATTATGGGTGGAAATTTTTTTAACCATTTCGCCACAACACATACCGAAGATTTCAAATCATTACACTAATATCAAACACAATAAAAACGAATTTAAAGCTGGTCCCATGGTGTTAACAAGTCCTCATCTTCCTTATTTATATATTTCTATTTTTCCTCCTTGCCCATCCATTCTAATTTGTTACCTTATCTATTCGTACTTCCGCATTATAATATCTTATAAAATAATTAATTCTATCAATCTCTTTTGTCATCCTCTCCTCTTTTAAATAATTTTTCAAATATTTTCTTCTCTACATTTTACTCGACCCTCATAATATAAATATACATTTTATTTTACTTGTCCATTTTAATAAAATAAGAGAGGTTCATCATCTTTTTCTTATACATCATCTTTAATGTTAAATAATTATATAAAATAGTGACATGAGGCAGTTGCTCGGATGATAAACACCTCTCACTTTCAATTTAAAGATTATGAGTTCGAATCAT